TTTTCCAAAATGTAGGGATCAGAACTTTATTTATTTTCATTGATTATTATTAAACATTATTGTTGATATATCCATTATTTTCAATCAACGTTATTGATTACATTTAGAAACTAATGTAAATAGTTTTGTAATGTAGTTCATATCTTTTGTAATAAATGTACTGTACTGTGCAGCTAATGGATTTCTTTGAATTTAATATTGGCTTTTTTCAACTGAAAAATTATGCAGTGTATATTTTCGAATAGTTAAACTTATGATGTTAAACTGTGTTCCTCATTTTAAATATATGCATATTTATTTATTTATTTAAACAGCTATTTTAAAATTTATTTTACTGTTTATATATTAGTGTAAAACGAATTTTTACACTAATATATGTGTTTTTAAAATGAAATTTCTTCTGATTCTGTTTACAATAATTTGTTTGCATCGTATTATTTCAGGAAATGGTAAGTAACCTAAGTGAGCTGTTAAATATAAATGAACTGAATGCTAAAAATTAATTATTAAGATAACTGAAAATATTTTGTAATGTTTAAAAATATAAAATTCAATTTTGATAAATATGTAAAAATTAGAAATTCCTTTTATATTTAGGCAGAATTAGGCAGTATATTGTTAGAAATTTACAAATATGAAAAGGATTTTCTAGATAAATTATTATTATAGATAAAAGCTTATCATAATAATGTATTAATAACAATTCAGATTAGACCAGGGGTCACCAAACTATGGCCCGTGTGCTAGATCCGATCCACAAAGGTCAGTTCATCCGACCCGCCGCCTCTGTGCCACATATGAGCTAAAATGTAATTATTTATATGAAAATATCATAGATTGTAAGATGAACTTACTATGCAGAAAAAAAGTAATATACGTATAAGTAAAAATGCCAAAATTGGTCAAATCTGATTTTTGCATTTGACAGTAATATGAGTTTTAGGTAAATCAGTGAAATAAAAAATTCGGTGATTTTTTGCGACTTTGAATATCACAGCGCTTTTTGTGTAAGTACTGTACTTGCAATAAAGTTTCTAAGAAAAGCGATTACGAGCTTGCTGCAGCAATCGTGTTTGTGTATTGTTTTTTTTTTGTGAATTCAGTATACTGTATTGAACAAAATGGTTATGCGGCCAGCGCTCGTCAGTCTCTTAGTTATCTGGCCCGCTGTGAAAAAAGTTTGATGATCCCTGAATTAGACGATTGGTAGATTACAATTGAAATTTANCTAAAGAATATTCATCTAATAAAAGGGAAAATAATTATATTAAATACAATGGATTACAATAATATGTTATACCAATTTAATATGTTATAACATTATCTTAGATTAACTTTGTTAAGTTTATATATACTTATGCTTAGATACAAATTTTCTTTACACTATAACTAATAGAACTTCATGTTTTATAAAGGTATCAAGAAGAATAATTGAATGACTATCTATCATTAGATTATTAGAAAATATATTGTTCTGAATCTGTTACTTTTAAACTTGGAGAATTCTTGCAATGTGTTTTATCTTGGAAATGTGGAATGTTTAAATTATTTGTTCTTAATTGTTGCTTTGATTTTCTTCTAATGTTGGATTCATTGATGTGAAGCAGCAAGCACATCAACAAATACAGCTAACTTGAATTTTTTTCCATTATGGATAGACTTGATATATAGTAAAATCAATTGGATGGTAAGGAATGAGTTCCAACATATGTAATCAGATTATATGTGAAAAACTTCTGAGATTTTCATTTCAATTTGAATGTGTGTCTGCCAGACTGGTAAGCAGATATTTTTAATATTCCTCAGCTGACCATCTAACTGACCATTTTTGAATTAGGATAGACCTATTGTTTATGCTGATAAACATTTTAACATTATTTCTAATGAATTCATTGATGTGTGAATTTTTTATTTCTGCATGAATATTAAATTGATCTTAAAATATGTTTTGCTTAAAATGCCAAATCTTTAAGATTTTACCAAATAATAATATTTTTGCCAAATACAAATTCACCAATTCATATCAATTATTTTCAGTTTAACATTTTTGTATGACTAAATTGCAATGTTTGGAAGTAAAATATATTCTTTCATATCACTTTGTATTTTATATTTTGAATTCGCAAACCTTGCATATAAAAAAAAAATCAGTGAATTATTTATCTTAGGGGAAAAATTACAAAAAATTAAGTTCAGATCAGTGATCATTTCAAATATGATCTCAATAGTAAAAAGTTTTCATATAATAAGGCTAATTATATTCTGAATTTATTTCAAATTAAATTTTAATTTAAATGAATTTTAGGTTTAAATATATAGAATTTAACAGGCAAATAGAAATGTTACTGTAGTGTTTTTAATGTCTTATAAGAAGTCCTTGGAACTGATGTGTTTCAGATTTTAGAGTAGCATATATTAATTTTACTAATGATCATACTGAGAGCAATATATAAATATAAATAAAAAATAATTTATTTGAAAGAAAAAAACAATTTGGTATGGCTATAACAATATGCAAAATGAGAGATCCTTTCTTTTCTTCCTATCAGTATAAGTTATTGGGATATTACAAACTGGATATTTTAACAGTAAAATGAGTTGAAAATAATAAAAAGGCAAAAATATTAAAGAATAAAAAAAACACATCTGACTGGTAGCAATATTCATTCACAAATGATACTTCAAACCTGTGTCAAATTGCATTTAATACAAAAAAAAATTCAGTTTTTGAAACTTTTCCGATAAAGGATCATTGACCTGTATAGAATGTCTATTTGTTAGTAGTTTCTATTTAGTATGTATTTTAATTTTTGTCATGTTTATAATATAGCAAATTTATTATTATTATAAATATTGAAATTGTGTATGTAGTTGTAGAAACTTCTTTAATTTTAAATTAGCACTGATTTAATTTTTCTTTTAAATGAAGCTTTTCATACGTTATTGAATTTTTCTGTATTTAGTTTGAGCTCATATAATATTAAATATGGTAGTTTTGTTGTTATTAATTATTTAACTTTTGTCAATAATTTTGTTGTAAGTCAACTAAAATAGTATTAATTTTATGAAACTGAAAAATGAGAAACAAGAAAGTTGAAAATCAGTTTTTTTTTGTTTAAATATGTTTAATATTTTCTTTAAAAAATTATCATTAACAATTACCAGTTTTCTGATGATGATAAAAATAAATTTTTGAATTAATTTTATTGGGAGTTAAACTATAATTATTCCATAAATGATTTTTAAAATGAAATTAATTAAGATAATATAGTTTGGCTTCTAACTACTAATAATTTCAGCTGAAAGTAGATATGTGTTATGTTGTTATTCATATTAGCATTAAGTTTATACATATTAATTTTTTAACTTTTGAAAATGTGATACAGTATATGTATATGAATTTTACATTATATATTCTAATAATTTTATTGGCTATATTATCATGTAAATTACATGTATTTAGTTATAATCATCTTTATACTTTAACATTCTAGCTGTTGATGATGATGTTTATTGTTGTACACATAAGTTTTTTATTAATTCATCAAATGTATAAAATAATAATTAATAATTTCAGAAACATGTATTTAATATCATTAAAAGTTTTCTTTTTCTTCAATAAATAATCTATCCCACTCCACTTAAGTGATATGAACCGATATCAATATTCTAAATAGACTTTTCTCTTATAATTTAGATCAGTATCTGATGAACAAATAATATAATCTGTGATATCTTTATACATTTGAATATTTTATTCTATAAATAAAATATTGTGATAAAATTTCAATTTTAAGTCTTCTAGCCAAAATAACACGTTTCTAAAATTAGTGTTTTGATTGTACATATTGTTAATTCTCATAATTTGATGATATCTGCCAACAAGTATTAGCTTCATTCATCTTATCTATAATGTGTTATCAATACATTCAGTGGTTTGGTTGATAAGAATTTCATATTGTCAATAAAGCATCTTGAATAGTAATTAGGACATTTGATTTTGAGAAATCAAAATTTGATAAAAGTTTAAAACAATTTATTTATTTTAAATTTAAGAATGAAAGTTTTATTTCTTATATTACACTTTTGAATTATATTTATTCTTAAATAATTTATACATTTATTTATTAACATTTTCTTTCAAGCATAATAAATATTCAGTTTTTATTAGTTCTATATTATTTTGTTTGCTGTTTTTTTTTTTTTATTTAAATTCTGATAAATTTAAAAATTGCTTTATTTTATATGTTAGAAATAAATTTTTGTTATAAGTAAATAATTCCCATTAAAATGTTATATGCTAAAATAATAATGTTTAATTTCTTAGTTTTTGTGTATAATGTCTGATATTTCAATACCAAAGTTACTGAACTAAATGTGATTTGTTTACAAATTTTAATGTTTAATTTATCAGACTATAATCTATTTTATTCTACATCTTAAATAACATAAATTAAAATCTGATAGATCTGCTAATGTAAACACGATACAAATGTTTACCTAACAAGATGATGATAGTCAATAAATAATAAACATAATTTAAAAATTTAAAAGATTTTAATTTAATAAAGATTTTAAAGGAAAATTTTAAAGTTAATTCATTTGTATAAACAAATTCTTTTTATTTCATAGTTTTTTATGATTCCATTTTTCTTCCTATCATTAAACTTGATATTCAAGGTTGTATTTAAAATAACTTGTTTTGGTTATGTCTGCATTTTTTAAATATCTAGCTTGTTAAACATAATATTTAAGTTAGTTATTTGATCAGAATTTTTAAAAAGGTAAAATTATTTATTTATTTGTTGATAAGATATTTTTATGAAATTCTTGAATTTTATAAAAAAATATAATAATAAATTCATTTAGGTATTTAGTTAATCGATTATTCAAAGACATAATATTAAAAATTCTTGATATTTTTAAATTGGTGTTAATTAAATTCAATATTAATTGACTTCATGAACAGAATGATTTAAATATGTTTTTTTCTTTCCCAGGTTGCTCATGATTGTCGAAATGATAGTGGAGCACTTTATTTTCAATTTGAAGTAAAATTAGAAAATGTTTTTGATACACAGGTAAGACTGCATGTATATAATATATATAGTGTTATAGTAACTTGTTTGACTGCTACAACACCCTTGGTGTTGACATTGCAAATTTATTAGTGCTTTCCTATTTGTCAGCATGTGACAAGTATTAATTAACTTCTTCAGTAGAAATGAAATTGATATTCATATTTATTGTAATTTTTAGGTGATTATAGTACTATATTTTTTATATTATATTCTTTGTATTAACAGTTTTATTTTGTTTAAAACTGTTATAAGTACAGAATTACAATATTATTTTAAGTACTGTATATTATAAAATTTAATTTTTATATTGTATTATTTTAATGTAATAAAATATTAACTTAGGTCTTTTATAAATTTGATAGTAGAATTTTCAAATATGAAAATTGTTACATTTAATTTTATATGATGATCTTGGAAATATTTAATAACATAATATTCATTTAAGAAAAGAAAGTAAATACCAAACTTTAAAGTACTCATTTTATTTATAATTCTTGTTTAAAATAAAAAATATCTGTTGCTATAAAATATATACAATAGTCAATATTTCAGAAATTTTAAAATGGTCTGAAAGCTTGATGTTGCTAATCTGACAAATTGAAGGAAGTACTTGTCAGACAGTAAATAATTAAATATTATATTAACTAGTTATAGGTAAATAACCAAATACAATATGCATTCATTAAATGCATTAACAAATTGCAGAAATAATTATTTTAAGCAATGTATTTATAAAATTTATTGAAAATAAAATAATGTATATATTATGTTTTATTTGTACTCATGTCCAAACATAACATAATCATCTAGTTTGTACATAGGAGTCTGGGTACTGAATGATTCTTGTCAGATTAGAATCTTGAGAGAGCAGAAAAACTGATACAGTCCCATAAACATCGTGGAAAGACTGGTTTGAAGATGGTGTCATCATAGAATGAGAAAGCATTATGTTTTAAGGGCAGCATTGAGCTATATGCAAGGGATGCCATTATTCAAAAGTATAGAGACAAGGAAATTCCATGAGACTTTTCTGAGAAGTAGTGGTTGCAGATTTAATTTTCATGGATGACAATGCCTATATTTATATGGCAGTATTTGTCAATGACTTTATTGATAGTGAAGTTATTTGTTCATGGAATGGCTGCAAGCTGTCTGAGTCTCATAGAATGTGTGGGATTCTCTAAAGCAGTGTTTTTCAATCTTCCTGAATACGCAACCCCTTTACAAGTTAAAAAATTCTGGCGATTTCCCTGGGCCATATTAAAACTATATCAGTGATTTTAAAAACTATGTACTGTATTTAATTTTCTTTCTGTTGAGACCAAGATATTGATCGAAAAACCAATTATACTGTAAAATAAACAGGTACAGCTTTCTCACTGAAATTGTAGGGTTTTTTTATTGTAGTGTAAGACCTACAAACACTTGTCTTTTTCTTTTACCTGCAACCCCCTGTGTAAGGCTTTGCGACCCCCCCCCCGGGGGTCGTGACCCACAGGTTGAAAAACACTGCTCTAGAGACAAGTTGCAGAGTTGCATTTTGTTGGTCTTCAGACACTTCAAGATGCAACTTAATGTAGAAGAATAATTATGACATTTTTTGAACATCCACTGGGCATGATAATTATTCATTAAAAGGAAAGAAAGTAATAACTTACCATAATTTAAAATAGATATTTAACAAAGTGCTAAACTAGTGATGGCAAAGTTGTGACTCACATGACAATTTTAAGGTATCAACATTGAATGTACAGAAAGTATTAGGTTTTTATAAATTATAAAAAAAAGAAAGTGAACTATTTGTATTTTAGTAATGGCAATGTCACCAGAGGATGTTTTAACCAATTTGCATTATTGCAGAGGTGTAAAGATCATCTTTGTAGATGAAGATCGTATGTTGTTGGTGATTGCTAAGACACAATATCTAAAGACATTTTACATCTTCTATATTTTTGTATTTTACTAAATAAAAATGTATATACTATCAGCCAGCTTGAAATGAAATAAAGAAAAATTTGATAGATTTTAAAATTTTCATATCTTTATATTTCCTTTTTTATAATCTTTATATTTTTTTGTTAAACCAACTGAACCAACTGTGTCCAACTGAAAATCACTAAAATTATTAATAGTTTAATCATATCAAAATATATTCAAACTTCTATAGTTTTCTGCACATCTAGATGTTTTGAGGTTTAATTTGAGACTTCATTTTCTGAATTTGATTAAAGGGAAGTGTGTGAACTAAGTCACTTGGTTCTCACATTTCTGGGCGAGCCAAAAATCCCTAAACTTGGATTGTAATATTTTTTTATGATGGTAATGTCAACATATGCTATGAATTTCTAAAAGCATTATCTTATTTATATCTTTGAAAACATGTAAAGACAATAACAATGCCCTAAGCATTTAAATTAACTCTGCAAAGGGCAAATTCCAAAACATGTCAGATATCTCTCTTTGCACAGACATGCTGATGATGTCCTGACCTGCACCAGTTTTTTATTGGTTCTCCAATGTCATAATGCAACAATACAGGCTAATCATATGCAAAAGCACGTCTTTTTCACAAATATAATGTGTTTTCCTTTTAGAGGCATAGTTTGAAACCAAATTCAAAGTGTGTTTTTATTGTAAGTTCAGGTGGTTAGTAAGCAAGTCCACAATAAATGGAATAATCTAAAGGAATACTTTTACAGGGATAATCCTAGAGATCTGTGGTTCTTGAAAGGGAACATTGGTGCAACCATCAATAACATTTCTCCAGACATGCTAAGATGCATGGTTAGAAATGCATGTTGCTGCAGGCGTTTGTGCTTGCATGAACATGGCAGACACTTTAACATCTGTGATAGTGTTTTCAAAGCTTAAGGAATAAGAAAACATAGCTATGATAAGTAAACTATTTTATTTGCAGTAAAAAAACCATCGGAATTTTTTGAAATCAGATTTTAGGATTTTTGGCTCATCCTGTTTTTGGACTTGAGTGTATGAGGGTAAGTCAATATATGTCAAAAAATGGGATAGAAAAAAAAACTGAGTACTTAATTTTTTTTTATGTAATTCCCACACACATTTAGACACTTATCCCATTGTTTCACAAGTGCTTGAAAGCTGTCAGCAAAGACTTTTTTGGTTGTTTCTGAAATCAACAAGTTACTTTGTTGGCAAAGGCATCATTATCTTTGAAATAGCAACCATCCATGTGATTTTTCAGGGACCCAAAGGATGGAAATCAATGGGGTCTAACTTGTAAGTTGCAGCTTTAAAGTAGCTGTTTCAAGTGTTTTTAACCAAAAGTTTTCAACAGCTCCTGCATTGGTCTGGCCACATGAGGGTGGGCATTATCGTCCTGGAGAATTACTGTTTTTGGAAAATGGACAACTCCAGTTTCTACAAGATGGCATTGACTGTTTTTCATCTTGAGGCTAGATTTCTGCCAGTATGATGCCCTATGATTTCCAAAAAAGGTTAACATAACTTTGTATGCTAATGGCATCTTAGATTTTTTGTGGATAAAGAAGAAAGATGTTTCAACTCCAACCAGAATTGAAGCCATACTTCAATTCTGGTTGAAAGTGGTGTATCCATAGCTTATTCCAAAACAATTTGTTTGATGAAGTCCTTTTCTTCTTTATGATACCACATGAGGTCCTGCATGTATAAGCTCAATCTGTTCATTTTGTGTTCAACAGACAACTGGCATATGATCTATTGTTCATAGACTTTATGGATTTTATAGCTGCTCAAGCACAATGTAGACAGTTTCATGAGAACAAACCACACTACTAACTATGTTATTCATCAATACATATCAGTCAGCATGAATTATGCTATATTGGTATCTCAGTTGCAACTTCCATGGGATGACCTTGATTTGATGTTCCTTGTCTGTGATTCTCATTCATCCATTATTGAATGCTGGATCCAATTATATATTGCTTTTCTTGGCATACATTCTTCAATGTACACTTCAAGCATTAATTTTATGCACTTCCTGTGATCAGTCTTTTGGCCCACAGAAAAAACACAACTGCTTGCTACTGTTCTTATGTATACTGATGTAACACACTTGCCATATTAGAACTGGCTGCAGTTCAGTAACCATGACATGCAGAGATATAGTATTAATTCTAATTTCTCATCAATTGGTGCTACTATTTACCATATTGAATTTTAAATGATTTTCAGTGGGAATGGATTTGAGATGTATCTGTTGACCCTCCTTTGAATATTATGATGATAGCTTGAAAATATACAGCAGTTTGGTAGAGCAACTGCTGTGCCATTTTTGAAATAATGTTTATTGTCTGATGGTAATTTTGTAATGAAATAAAACGATAAATAAATATTGCAAATATATTCTTAAATCTGCAAGCTCATTAATTAATTAATCATCATAAGCATATTTTTATAAAAATATGTTTATAAATCTATTATTTTGCATTATAATTGTAATTGTTTATTNGCCAACAGACTATCATTTTTTTATACATTTAGATAGTTTTTTGGCAAGGAAAGTCTTCAAGAAAGAAGATGCAATAAAAAAGTACCTTTAATGACTTTTTGGCCTCTCGTTCTCATGATTTCTATGAAATTGGCATTAATGCATTTTCTATTGCATTGGGAAAAGTGTATTAATGTGGTGGAGACAATTTTGATTGAATATGTAAGTTTTAAGCTTTAAAATATTTAATATATTAAAGAGTTATATATAACAGTTAGTGTTATGATTTCTACTTTTAAATTTGTCTTTATTTTTTAATAAGAAAATAGTCAATAGCATAATCTGTTTAGTGGAATAAAGCAAAACAGTTTCATTGTCAACTGTATGGTATGGAGTTAATAATGTAACAGACTATCTTTGCTTGATTCATATCTTAAAAGTCTTAAAAGTTTAAACATTTTCATCTTGCTCTTCATTTGTATCGACAAAGTTTTTTATACTATATGTTAGGATCATTTTGTTTGGCAGTAATAACGACAAATTTTAGAATATT